CAGACAGACTGACAGACAGACAGACCCCCAGACAGACAAAAACAACAGAGGGAAAGTAAAGAAGTAGGACCCACCAGTGGACTCCTTCAACCATCTGCTCAATGTATCTTTTCATCGGAAAAAAAACAGCAAAAACAAAAATACATTTAAAAAATTGAAGTGAAAAAAACAACCAACCAAAACCACCACCAGGAAAAGATAACATGAAACTTTCAAAACAAGACTATATTCGTACTACGTAATACGCAGAGAACTATGGTCACTTACTTCTATACTGCATTCCACTGCGATCTATAAATAGCACATACAAACAAATCCATTGTTTTCATTGTTGTGTAGAATTAATGAATCGTTCTTTCGTTCAGATTGTGGTGAGTGTACTACGGCGCTCACAACAGCACAGGGCCAAAGCCCATTCTTATCGATTTTTTAAAATCACAAAGGGATCTTTAACGTGTGTAACTTGCACATAGGATCTCCGAGATTTTTCACCCTTATCCGAGAAGGCTACGTGTTCGCTCTTACCTACCCTAAGATCAAGGGGCGTGGCTGAAAGACAGCAGTAAGAAGGAGCCAAGGAGTAGCAGTAGGAGGACTACAGAAAGTCAGTGGCTCAGACGAGGGGACAAAGAGGAGGGGGGGGGGGCAGAAAGTGGAGACAAAATCTGGACAATAAAGATGTATCTTATCTTACCTTATCTTAAAAGCACACGACAGGACATGGCTAGAGAGCAGGAAAGGAGATGAAAGGAGAACGTTTTAGAGAAAGACATTTTCCGCCGCAGTCAGGGCTTGAACCCGGGACTTATTGAATGAGAGTCGAACACCATAACCTCTGAACCATGAGAGCCCCCCCCCCCTCCCCCAAGTCATCCTTCATCCCTAGGGCAGTGAATCTGATATCTTTTACCCCGAGTCACAACCTCGCTGCTGTAAATTCGTTGTGAACAGGGAACAGTCTAATTATTCTGTCCCCGTGGTTTGATGCACCCCGCATAATTTTTCAAAATTTTTATCTGTTTTGAGGCATAATTTCTGATTATTTTCCTTTATCATTCTTTGTTAAAATTAACAGAATCGCATAGTTTCACATTTTTGGGCTCAGTTTGCATAATTTCATAACTTTTCTGGCATAAATCGACGGGGACAGATTATTGCAGATCACTGGGGCCTGTGGTGTAGCGGTAAGACGCTTTACTGTCGCACGCAGGAGACCAGAGTTCGATTCTCGAGTGGGGAAATTTTTTTTTTATCGAGTATCTCGGTCCTTCTGCTGGGAAATAGTATCCCTCTTAGCTCAGTTTGGCCCTGACAGGCGGGGTTGGAAGCCTGCCGCCCTAACGGTCTAAACTGTGTTGAGGAAGGCGTAAAACGTCTCGTCAAATTTTGGATATTTCATATAGAGTTATCTATTTGTAGCAACAAAATTCTTTAGAATTGATCCAACGGGCAGTAAAATATCAGTTTCTTCAATTGTCAATATTTCGACGAGCGCTCGATTTCACCCCGATGGCACACAGATAAATAGTAAAAACAAAAGGAAGAG